TCCTATCGAAAGCTATTGCTATTGCTACCATTACGAGCAGTTACTGCATAGTTCTTAGGCTTGAGAGGACCGATCAAACTATGTCTTCCTACAGGAGTAGTGCTTCTGGGATAGTATCAATGTAGACCCTCTCAGCCTCTCATTGGCCTAAAGCATAACTTACCAGCAATCTTTTGACCTTTTTTTACAAGTCAAAAACTGTTTTTAGCTTCGATCTGCTAAAAAAATTCAGAATCCTTTGAAAACTTCAGAGTGGAGCTGTAATTGCTATCCCACTTATTAGCTGCACGGTCCATAAATCAAAGTCGTTTAGACCATCGAAATCTTCCGTTCTCCCATGGACAGTGATCCATTCGGTCTCGAAATTCATGCACCAGTCAATTTTCAATTTTTTTGCGGTCATTTTTTTTGAATTTTCCGTATCACTTGGGGGAGCATCTTGCTGGCTTTTTGATACCATATCTGCTTTTTCTTGCACTGCCTGGAGAAGTTTCTCAAAACTTGCTGTACTCAACGAATTACTGGCACCATATTCTGTTCCACGAGCTTGGGTGGAGAAATAGCACATGCGTACAAGAGAAGAACATAGTTGAGACTAAACTCATTGGAGAAGTCACTGTCTAGGGCGGATGTCCATGATCCCAATACCTCTGCAATTAGGAATGATGGCCAAGTACGCGGCGCATGTAAGGGCCTTGTCTCTGCGCTAAGTGCAGTTCCTTGTCAGCTGGTTGTTGCAGTTTATTGTTGAGTGAAACGGGAATCTTTCTTGATTCGATATAATTTTTAATTGGCTTTCTTAATCCGATCCGCTTTTTTAATTGGCTTTTACTAGTTTAATCACTCCGAACATTGAGAAAACTATTCTCACGCTCCCTAAATTCTTACCGAGACCCTCTCGAGTAAAATCTGTAACCCCAATGATTCATATCAATTAGCCCTTATATTACCTTGCATGAAGCTCTTGGCGACTCACGCTTTGCTAGACGCCTTCCGTCCAAAGGCATCTGTAAAAGGGAAGCTGAGCCACCTCTCTGCTTCTGACCTTCTCGATTTTTCTCAATTGTTCGCATTTTCAATTTGCTCAGTAGCTTTAATTTTCTGTCATTTTTGTTCGCGTCCGTGCATATCGACGTTGTGAAGTCTGCAAAAAGGCGGGGGAGCTTCTATTTGCTTAAACTAGCGCAGGCAGATTGAAATGTACTCAGATGAATCAGTAAAACACTTCTACATCCCGGGAAACCTAGGGATCTGGGTTTGAGGAACTTTTTTTTGCAAAATATCAGCCCCTCTCCCCTTGAACCTCGGTTTTGATCTATCCTCTCCTCGATCCAACCTACAAAGCCCCCCTACTTCAATTTTCACTGTAAATTTTCGAAAACATTCCTAAGTTCTCCTATCTTCTCAACTTTCCTTTTTTTCCTGAAAATTTCTATCACCATCCAGAACCAGCTGTAGAGCGGCAATATGTAACACGTCAAACAGGAAAAATTAGCTGGGAATTCCACAGCTGAGAAACGTCTTTCTCTCTCAAAGACAAGATACGACCCCTTCCCTCCACCGACAAACAACTAAGACCCTCTCTTCGCTGGGAACCCCCAACATATTTTACATAGTACTTCTCCGCACATCAACTTCTAGCTGTTCGGCAGGGCACGCCATCACGTTGTGATCATTTCCTGAAAAATACGCCTCCCCTTATTCCATCCTCAAATAGACCCCCCCCATGTTACCTACCATCATTCCTAGATTTTCTCCACTCTATCACTTTTTCACAGTTCTTTCCCGGCAAATCTTCAGTTTTCAGATCAAGAATTTTTCCGCCGAGCGGGGGAACGTGGGTGGTCGCGAGGATTCGCACTGTCATCTTCAGCTATCGAAGTAAATTGTAAAAGTACTTTAAACAGTCCTCTCGGCAGCAACCAAACACGAGCCATCCCCCCCCCTGTATAGCGCCCGTCAAAATAAGAGAATCAAACCGTATCCAAAAAAAATTTTGTCGGACAAAATACAACCCCTCCTCCTGAGGGTCCGGGTCAAAACGACCCCCCCCCCCGTTGTGTCCTACAAACGGAGCGGTCCCCTGTTTCCGATCTCCTTTCTCTCGCTGTCATCCCTCATGCCCTTCAGCCTATCTATCGCTCATTAGAGCGAAACGCAACTTTTTGTAATAGAAGCCAAATTTGACGTCACCACTTCAAATTATGCGCGTCGTTGGTCGTCTCATCCTCAACTCGTCAATCATCCTCACGACTTTCTTGGAAAACGATAGACCCAGAGATGTCACAGTACGCATAACGTCACACCAACATTGCATATGGGTCAGAAATCGGAACTCGTCCCATTACAGTAGTTTCCTGTAGGTGGAAACACTCAGTGCTAAGGATCAAATTTGATCTGATCCTGCTTGTTTTCGTAGCCCTTCAATCATCCGCGCTAAAAGCCCTTTGATTTTGCACCGCTCTTCAAAATTAGATGCCGCTTAAGTGCAGAGCGGGTTCTTTTTGGCCATCTGGTTTATTCAAAAGCATTGTCGACAAGTGGTTATGAGAGACTTTTAAGAGGGCGCTGGTCCGAAATGGAGGGATGAAAACTTGTTTTGGTGAAGCAGAGCTAACCCAGGACGAAAGCCGCCTTGGTACATCCGGGAGCACATGCATGAGCATCAACTCCATTTATGGAGGAGGATCGATACACGCGAGGCTGACTGACTGACTAACTGACACGCTTGCTAGGTTCTCCACTGCTTTCAGTGCATGTTTTTTTCGAAACCGTCCAGTTTTGTTCCGATAATCCTGCGATACACGGCGCTGTCATGGCCTTGATGATTAGCGAGTCCATTTTGGATGACGATAGGTTCGACACGTGCACTTCAGTGCGAGAATGACC